AAGTAAGTCAAGTATCTAAAACACAAACCAAAGAACATTTTTGATCATCAAAATGAAACAAAAGGGAAAATAACGAATCTAATTTCCCAGCGCATTCGCCATCATTGCAACTTTACAAAAGAGAAAAGCTTGTGTTGCGGTTTAGCGCACACCTTATTGGAAAGCTCTTAAAAATTGTTATTTAACAGTAAAATACTTTTTGAAAAATCCGCAATAATTTTTCTAATTATTTAATCCAATTTCTCATTATAAATATCAAATTAAACCATTTTGTATACTTTAGTAAAAAAACTGGAGAACACAAAACAATTCCAACAAAAATATATATAATAATAATAATGTATATATAAATTTAATTATATGGGTGATTCTAAAACAGTTGGACAACTTGATGTCATCAGTCAATAGAGTAGGTATTTTAATATTTTTTGTAAATATTTTAGTATATTACAAAAGATCCAGGTTTTTTTTAACTTGTCCACCCAATTTTAATGTATTTTTTCCAAAGTACTTTTGTAGAAAAACCATCAGTACCTTGGCGTGTCACAACTCCTGAATGATATATTTGAGTGATTTTATTTTAAAATATATTCAATTTATCTTAAATTTTTCAATTTCACTACAAACTATAAAACATTAAATAATGTATTTTTCATATTTTATCATAGATTCGAATAATAGCAATTTTTAAAAAATTGATAATCTTTGTACTCACTTTTACCCGTCAGTTCTGTGTCCAATGTTAAAATTCAAAATTCCTGCGAAATATTGAAGTTTAAACGTCAAGTCCTCGTTTTAACTTAAGTGTTGGTAAAAAATTACCTACAGAGCCCATTGCACGACAGTTATCTTAAAAACAATGCAAGCGGCGAAGTTATGGTGAATGCACGTATAGTTCCAGTCAAAATTTCAGTACTGTGGTGAGTAATTATTTTCTTACGTATATATATTTCATTGTAATTTATATAAGGCTGTATGTGATTTGTTGATAAGAAAAAATATCAGTAAAATACTTAATTCCGAATTATAATCTCAAATTTGTCAGTACCGTGTCGTCAGTTCCATGTTCAATGTTTCGGTTATCTTTTTTTCGCAAACTTCAATTTAAATTCTGCTTGCGCAGAACTTCTTTATTTAATGTCATTATAAACTCATATAAATTTGGTGTGGATCCCATATCTAATAATTGAGATATTGGTATACCCAAAAGTCGCCACTGATGTGTGGTATTATTTGATTTTAAGATATTTAATGTATAATATGCTCAAAGTTGCAATAAACCTTATATTTTCCAGTAAATTATGTATTTAATTAGTACCCTAGTATACTCGTCACTTTCATTCAAATTTAGAAAACACAGATATTTTAGAAACTGTTTGAAAAAGTGACTGGACCGGTCTGGAACAGTATATTTATTATATTATCTATGTTCTCATAGCAAAATACTGTTTAATTTTCTTCCAAAACTATATAAACAAAATGAATATTTGTATACAAAAATACAGTATTTTTATTTTATTTATTTATTTTATTATTTTTAATGTGCTTTCAACAGGCACCAGGCCCAATTACAGAAATACACAATAACAAACACAAATAAACAACCATACCCCTGGTGGGATTCGAACCCACGACCTCTCGGCTTGTAGTCCGCAGTGCTAACTACTACACCACCGAGGGCGGCAGTAGCCAAATTGATGTAAGAAATCTCTTTTATCGACTTTCAAAATGGCAGTGTTTAATTCCGATATGAAAGCAGTTTTTCGCAGTAAAATTGAGGAGGATGTTTTATGGGTACTCCACCCTTTTTATTGCTTTATCGGGAAATAAAAAAATCAGTATAAACGTGCATATAAATATTGGGGTTGAGAAATTATTTAATACTTTTGTATTTGTGGATTAAGATAATACAATAATTTTCGCATTTGGTATTATTTTACAAGGAGGGCACCTTATTTTGAGATCTAACGACTGCCAACTAACTCAAGCCCAGTCACAAAAACGCTATAAAGTCACAGCTCGTCAATGTGTATATAAAGATTTACTTAGTGTCATGGAAACATGTACGATAATGGGCATTTTAAAGGAGCAATTTAAAATACGGGAAAATAACATATTTCAGACATTTCACGCCAAATAAATGTCGTATACAAGCAGAACAAAAGAAAAATATAACGAAATGGCAGGGAAAAAATTAATTGGCTCATTGTAGAAGAACAACGTAGTCTTTTGAAATAATTGGAATAGTGCTTAAAGAAAAAATGTACACTTAAACTACAGGTGTGTGAAATAAAATGAATGAAGGTAATAGAAAAAAAATGGAAATGCCAATTCGTGACGTAAGCCCAGTAATATTGAACTAGTATTATTTAAAGAGGTATTTACACCTAAGAAAGGGCTATTTTACTAAACTAAGGGTTGTTGAATTCGAGTTAAATTTAACCAATATTTTGTTTTGTTTTTTTGAAATCGAAGCATTTCCTGAATATTCTTAAAGGGCACTTCAGAAATGCTTTTTGAAACCTCTTCATAAAAAATTAAGTATTCCACATTTTTCGACCTCGAAAATTGACATAAAAAAATCATTTTTTATACCTAGTTTGATTTTAACCATATTAGTAAAAATATCGACCGACGATAAAAGTTACTTCAACGAAAACTTGATGCTTGAAAAATTGCTACAGAATAAATTGTAAAAATGAATAAATGTCGCGAATTCTGTGTTCAGGCCCTTGGCTCACATAGAAGGGCAAAGTTTTGTTAGCTTATCCGATCCTAAGCGAGCTAGAAGCAGCTTCTTTGTTCTCTGAAATTTGCTGATTCGCCAAGTCCTGAGATAACTCAAATATACTTTAATTATGATCGCTGGGCAAAATTATAAGCCGAAAGACATTCGAATTTGAACAAATCTTCAATTTTTTTCATTCATTACGTTAAACGGCTAAATAAATCCAGTGAAATAAACGTTGACAATTGCCATTTGCATCATTTTTATATTATATTTATTTTTAGATTTGAGGTTAGTAGATGAAGTATGATTTTGAATTTAACTGTCTTGGACTATCTTCATCTTTGATTCTTTTATAACACAACGTTTCAATCAACTATCTGTGATCGTTTTCAAGTGTAGAATGATCAAATTTCAAAATGTAAAAACTATATATACACGACTCAGTTTCGGTTTACCAAAGACATGTGTCAGTAAACCGAAACTGAGTCGTGTATATATAGTTTTTACATTTTGAAATTTGATCGTTTTCAAGTGTAGAATGATCAAATTTCAAAATGTAAAAACTATATATACACGACTCAGTTTCGGTTTACCAAAGACATGTGTCAGTAAACCGAAACTGAGTCGTGTATATATAGTTTTTACATTTTGAAATTTGATCGTTTTTAAGTGTAGAATGATCAAATTTCAAAATGTAAAAACTATATATACACGACTCAGTTTCGGTTTACCAAAGACATGTGTCAGTAAACCGAAACTGAGTCGTGTATATATAGTTTTTACATTTTGAAATTTGATCCTTTTCAAATGTAGAATGATCAAATTTCAAAATGTAAAAACTATATATACACGACTCAGTTTCGGTTTACCAAAGACATGTGTCAGTAAACCGAAACTGAGTCGTGTATATATAGTTTTTACATTTTGAAATTTGATCGTTTTCAAGTGTAGAATATTCAAATTTCAAAATGTAAAAACTATATATACACGACTCAGTTTCGGTTTACCAAATACATGTGTCAGTAAACCGAAACTGAGTCGTGTATATATAGTTTTAACATTTTGAAATTTGATCGTTTTCAAGTGTAGAATGATCAAATTTCAAAATGTAAAAACTATATATACACGACTCAGTTTCGGTTTTCCAAATACATGTGTCAGTAAACCGAAACTGAGTCGTGTATATATAGTTTTTACATTTTGAAATTTGATCGTTTTCAAGTGTAGAATGATCAAATTTCAAAATGTAAAAACTATATATACACGACTCAGTTTCGGTTTTCCAAATACATGTGTCAGTAAACCGAAACTGAGTCGTGTATATATAGTTTTTACATTTTGAAATTTGATCCTTTTCAAGTGTAGAATGATCAAATTTAAAGTAAACCGAAACTGAATCGTGTATATATAGTTTTTACATTATGAAATTTGATCATTCTACACTTGAAAACGATCACAGATAGTTGATTAAAACGTTGTGTTATAAAAGAATCAAAGATGAAGATAGTCCAAGACAGTTTAATATATATTAATATAAATAGCATTGAATGGAGCTGAATAAAAAGACGAAGACAAACTTGTTGTTAAGAATTAATTTGATGGATGAAAAGATCGTGAGATAGATAAAAAATTGTGTTCGGCAGTGGTAGCTTGAAAGATTGATGGAGCAGAAGGAGCTGAAGAAGATTGTCGTTGTTGTGAGCGATCGTTATCGTAGGTGTAATTATCGATATCGCGGTTGAAAAAAGATCGATATTTTGGGCACACGATTCGGAGCAGTGACAAGGGTCGGGTTGTAGGGGCAAGGCCGGGGTAAATGTAGGTTAGCTGGAGCGTCCGGAGCCTACGGCTGGGAGTGGCGAAATCGATACGCGGCAGCCGGTTGCTGGCTGCCGCCGCCGTGGTTCCACTGCTGACTAGTGGCACTGGCACTGGCACGCCGGTGCCAATGGCACAATGAGTGTGTGCTAAAGCTACCGCTGCCGCTACAGAGCGAAGCAGCGGTGCCAGCACGACGGCGCGATAATGTTGGCGGGAAAATCCACGCCGCCGCCGCCTATGCCAAGGCCATGCTGCCGTCACGTCATCAACACCATCTGAATCTCGTGTCTCTCGTCTCGCTTAAATTTGAATTTCCGCCGCTCTAACCTAGTTTCATCTAAACGCACCGCATCACGTCCCGTAAGCGGGATACATTTTTTCCCTGACTACTACCACTTGGTAGAACCGAGTAAGTAAGTAAGGTGAGAAATAGTAGTTGTTATTGTACCTGTTCCTTGATTGGTTGGCGAGCAATGTCCATCAGCCATGGGTTTTTGGGGTTGCGGGGACGCTGGGGCCTTGCAGTCATCTTCGCCAGCGGGAGCGGACATGTCGGCGGAGCGGCATTCACCGTGCCCCGTGCCGTTGAAACTTTGGTGTGCGACTTGTCGACGAAACGACGAGCCGACTCCGGTACAATTCTACTAACCAACCGCCGCTGCCGCCACCGAGTTACTGAGATGAGATCTCGAGCGCAGCATCCGCCAACGGCCCAGATCCGCCTGCCACCCACAATTCTCCCCTATTTTATCCCGGGACTCGCACTAGTCGCTCGCGCACGCCTCCCTTTTCTCTCTATTACCCTCCATCCTACCTCTTCCTCTTCTTCCTTCTTCCATCCATCCTCCACTCTACCTTACTTACTTACTTACCTACCTACCGACGTTTCTACCTTTCTGCCTACCTACCCCACCCTACTTTACTTATTCTCTTTATACATCCTGACCACCTCCCTCTCAATTAAGGCCTGACCTGACCACACGTGCTACGTGCCACCTCAAGCATTCCTCGTATAACTTTTCCCACAATCTAATCGCTTATCCCACATTTCAAAATCACTTTCGACATTCCTTCAAAATATGTTTTTATCAATACAACTTTTACACCCGAGAAGAAAAAAGTGCTCATTCGCTGAATTCAGACTTAACTGGCTTCAGCAAAATGATTTGGATTCAGCGTTACTTTGTTTAATTTAAAATGATAATTGATTATCGAACTGCAAAATCATAGCCAAATATAAATTTGGAAAACCTTTTTTCTACGACCACTATGTAAAAGTCACATTTCGTAATGGCATCGTTGCTTAGAAAATGAATCTTTTCATTGGCAAGGCAAAACACGAATGTAAAGTGACATTTCTGTGTGAAAAGTGACAGGTCTGTGTGAAAAGAAATTGACAGTTGTCATGTATTTAAATATCATTTAGAAGACAATTAATTGTGTTTGCTTACTAAATTCCAATTTTTAGTGCCTTTATTTAAATTGAGAAGGTGAGTTTATTACCTTAAAAATTAAAAGAATAAGATAAAAGTAATTTTAACAGCTGTCAAACACGTTTTTAGGTTATTTTGTTTTGTTCACTTGTGAGAAAAGCTTTCTTCAAGCTCGTGTTAATGCACACTCGGCCTGACGGCCTCGTGAGCAACTTAAACACTCGCATGAAAAAGTCGCTTTTCAACACTTGTAAAACAAATAACTATTAGCTGATTTCTTCCAAAACCATATTATTATTTGATAAGTTTAAAAGCAAACATTTACCAATTACACAGCTAGCACTACTTGAAATTGCCATCAGAAATTCATGAGTTTCAGAATTGGTCGAGTTTCTATAAGTTTTGATTTGCATATAAACGACATAGAATTTCCCTAAAATCAAATGGGACGCAAAAAAGACACTAAATTTAAAATTTCATGTAAATTCTTCATAATAATTTTTTTGCATGAATCGTTTGGGGCTCAATTTTTTTCTAACTGACTGTAATATGATTCTCATTTACGGCTTAATCCATTTGAACGTTTATTTTAATCCTTACGGTATTTTATACACGTGCAGGGTGTTTTTGTATAAAGCTGCTTTGAACTTTTTAGTAAAACACTCTGATATAGCTAAGCGATTTAGCAAATAAAGCGAGCACTTAAGTGAGCAAATTATTTTTAATTCGGTATCAATCCAGTTTGTGTAAAGTAAAATTTTTTGAAAGGAAACTTGTATTTATTTTTAACATGGAAATTTGCTGAGTAGGAATATTAATTCTATTTAATAATTTTGGCATATTAGATAAACAAATATTTATTAATTATTGTTCTTCATTCTCAAAAAGACACACGCCAGAAGCTAACTAACTTTTTCTACTCCCACCTTTAAAACGTCCTTTATAGTACATGTTTCCATGACACTAAGTGACCTTTTAAATACACATTGACATGTTGTGGCTTTATGGCGCTTTAGTCACGGGCTGAAGTTAGTTTTAAGTTAGTTCACAGTTGTCAAATGTCATACAATCGTTAAAATAAAGTGCCTTTCTTGTAAAATAATACTAAATGTGAACATTATTTTATTATCTCAATACAAAAATACAAAAGTATTAAATAGTTTCTCAACGCCAATATTTAAAAAGTTTATATGAACATTGTACTGACCTTTTAATTTCGCCGGCAGTAAACTATAACCTAAATTCGGGCACGGACTCCACTGTAAAGTGCTCATAAAACATTTTCTTTACTTTCACTGTGAAAAACTGTCAATTTTCAAGAAATACATTTCGATTTATAACCTTTATAATTGTGTTTATAAAATGTAAAAATTTGACATTTGACGGTGACACACAGATTCCCCTATTGTTTCATAGATGGCGCCCTATACAAATTTTTGATTTAAATCATTTTAAGATAATAATAAGTATTTGTCGTAGAAAAAGTATAGAATGGGGATGAAGTTAGCTTAAATTTAGTTGACAGTTGACAAATGTCATACAATTATCAAAATAACGTGTCTCTTTTCAAATTATTTTATTATATCAATAAACAATTATTAGATAATTGGTTTCTTAGCGCCAATCTTTGAAAAATTTATTTCGCCTGCAGTAATCTAGTATTTTTTATAATAATATTAGTTGTTGAAAAAGTATGGTATGCAACCCGTTTATAAGCTTTAATAGACACTCATTTTATTAAACACTCGCTATTGCCTAATTAAAAATGTGATTATTTTATGTTTTAACGTTTGAAAGGTGGAGCAAGTCAGGTCGCCAGTTTGTGTACTATATGTAGTGACGGCTTTGCCAGTTCTGACCTAGTAAATATCTTCAGAATCCGTCAATATTTCTCTCGCCGTGCTTGCGACCACAAAGGCCTCTGATTTCGCCCATTTCCTCTCTGATCTTTATTTCCCGACTAACCCACGCCACGCCAGTTACTAATTTCCAACTCTGCACCAATTTTCCTCAAACAAATTGAGGGCAAAGCGTTAAGCATTCTATTAGATGCTAACTACTCAAGGGCCTGTCTAATAACTGATGAATATTTATAAACATTGAAAATGAAGTTAAGATGGTCATAAATTTTAGGAAAATATACCATTAGCCTCATCCTTGCCAACCACAACACTCACAGCCATTATTTCCGGTTATCACTGCGATAGCATTTAGCACAACAGACAAGTTAACATCGCTGTAATACATTAAAGGAGAAATAAGTCAATTTTATGGTTTCGTTTTACATAAACTGATTACCTGACGCTTTAAAATCTAAAGGTCTACATATCTGCTCTGCTAAAGTATTTGTGCATCGTCTAATACATTCAGTTTTAATCTAATTACATACTACGTTTCAGGTGAAAAAAAAGTAAAAATATATTGATTAATTTTTTATTCTAACCAATTCCAGAAAAATAATTCAATTGTTTTTGCGAAAAATACGTTTAATTTAATTTCAAACATTTGAATTTATCAGCAAATTAGATTTTTTCACGGAAATCGAATGTCCCCGGGTTAAATTTGAATTCTGATCGAGTGTTCGAGCAATTACTTTGGATTTGCCATTAAAAACCCTATTGTCCTTTATATTTCTATACCCAATATATTGAACGATTTACCGCACTCAAAACGCATATTTACTGCAATGGTGCTATATAAACGACCAAATGAGCAATTTTTTGCTAACCGCATACACAGCAAAAAATTTGCCTGTGTAAATTTTCTAGAGTACCTGGTAAAAATTTTAGAGTTAAAATCTATTTTAACTCTTAAATCAAATCTTATCCATTTTTCATTTAGGTAACTCTTTTTTAACTCGATCTTTAGATTAAATATATTTTACACTATTTAGTCACAATGTAACTCTATTTCTATTATAAAAAAAATTACAAAATTAGAGTAGATATTACTAAATCAATTAAATTATAACTTTTGTAGAGTTAAATCTGGTACATGGTACAGTTTTATCTAAATATCTCTAATAAATTCTTATTAGTGCATATCTTAACTCTAAAATGTTTGTCCAACATATTTCTTGTCACAATCTTGACAGTTTATTTCGTACATCCCCGACTTTTTAATTTTAAGAATCTTATCTTTTGGGTTGCCTACTCTCTAAAAATGAAACAGTGGATTTTCACTGATTGACAGTGCATATTAACTATTTGCCGCAGTGATAAGTATACCACTAGCAATTAGTGAATACTCACTTTTTCATGTAGCGATTTCTTCACTGTACAAATTAGTGAAATAGGTTTAGTTCAAAAAAGTTAAAATTTCACTATTTTATATCGAGAGTTTCGGAAAAGTAGTGATAATAAAAAACACTAATTTGAAGAAGTTAAAATTTCACTAATTTATATTGAAAAACACTAATTTTACAGTGAATAATAACTCAATGACGGAAATAGTGAAAATTTCACTGTTTCACTTTTAGAGAGTACAAGGGTCTGGACTGTAAGTGTGCTGTGGAGAACGCCGTGCTCTGATTGGTTTATTGCTTTCCATAGAGATAATTTGTTTATTGAAAGTAAAGTAGCCAATTTCGTAAAATAACCCCCTGACATTGCAACTTTTTGGTACAAAATTGGTTAAAACAATGTGAGGTTATCAATGGTTCCACGATAGTAAAAATAATGAATTTAACGTCAAATGAATTGCCGCGTTTGTTTTATTGCTTTGAGTTCTGCATTTGATGGGCCTGGGGTAATATTTCACATCAAAGCAGAACGGTGTGGCGCAACGTCTGCAAATAAAATTGTGTAAATTCTAAGAGACATTTAAAAGCTTTGTAAATAAAAATAAATGAAGCTTGATGACAATTGTTTTTAATTAGCTAATTGCAATCTTTTTAGCATTTTATTGACCGCCTTTTAATTCATTTAAAATTTTCCTTAACAGCTTCGTTTACCCACATTAATCGTGGAAGGTGCTTAAACAGGTTAACTGGAATATTTGGTACTAGGATAATTAAAACATCCTCGATGTCTGAGACATCAAAATTATGTACTAAAAATTTTTAAGCGATGACACATTTACGTTTTAAAAATTTTATTTAACGAAGCTTAATATCTCGCACATTGGGGGGGTCTTTATTTTCTTAAGTTGGCAATACTGCCCTGCTAAACAAGAAGGTCGTATCTGACATTTTTTCAGAAATGGAACTGTCATATCTTAATCAGAGATTGGGCATTTCTGCCCAACCCAACCCAGAATGCTTTACCTGCATTAGTAAAATGATAAATCTTCTAATTTTGTCCTAACTACAAAAAAAAGTTAATTCAATTGAAATCCAAATT